GACATCCCTTTCAGTATAAAAATTGCAAGAAGTTAGAAAGGAAGACTACAAGAATATTTGTCCATGTGATATATGAAATATCACTCATAGCTGATATTTTAAGGAGATTTGCTTTTTCAAGGATGCAAAAGTTGAAGATTCCAGATAGCATCTTCTAGAATCCAAGTTACATAATAACAAACCGGTTACACAAGACATAAGTAATTGAAATTCATTAAAGGCAAAAAAAAAAAAAAAAAGGCGTCACAATCAAATTTTACAGAAGATAAATAGGAAAAGCATCAAATTTCCAAGTAGCTTTCATAGAGACAATTCCATTACGACCAATTAAATTTATAAGAATCCTTATCCTTCCACGAAGCTGGGGATCATAAGACATGCTTCTAAAGATATTGACAGTAAGATTCACAGCAAGGATCATTCTAAAAGAATAGTCAATGTTTAATTTCCTTCATATTTTATTGTCAATTCAAGTGTGGAAACTAAGTTACATAATGTCGCTTTGATCTATGACCTATGTGTATAACTTAAATCTATAAAGGGGCATCATCATCTAAATTTGTGAGAGCGGCAGACAAATCTTTAGCATAGCCCCTTCCACAAATTACTATGAATAAAAACGCTGCAAAGGTGTCATTCTACAATACAAATACAATAGAACATGGACAAAAGAATTACAATTTGCAGGAACAAAATGCACCTCTTCGGCTATAGAAAACTGGTGCCTGCACGGCAATGGTGCAGAAGATTATGAGCAATAGCATCCCTAGCCTTCATTGAGCTTGCCGATCTCAAAGCAACCTCAGGTACCATCTCATCATCAACAAGTTCCATCCTCAGCTCTGGATCCATTTCCTCATTTTGCATTTCACAAATATTATGCAACACACAGCATGCCCCAAGAACCACTGGCAAGTCTTGTAGTTTTACCTCTGTTCTTTTCTGCAAGCAACTCCACCTCCCTTTCAACCTCGCAAAGGCATCCTTAGCAGCCGATTGAATCTCCCCAATCTTCTCATTAAAAGCATGCTGAGTCCACGTCAAATTCTGCTGTGTATAAGGCACCAAAACCCAATCCATTAACGGGAACCCTGAAGTCCCAACAATCCAAACATCCTTCAAAAGGCCTCCATTAGCCCTTTGAAATAAAGCAGACTTCTCCAACACCTGATCATCAGGCATTGAACCGGGCCAACCAATACACACATCAGTAAACACCCCTTTTGGATCAACAACACCTTGAACAGTAATTGAATAGGATGTTTTCTGATTCCTCTCTGTATGCCTCTTGTTAAAATAAGCGGCAACACTAATCTTTGGAGCTATAATAGGTATATGAGTGGTATACATAGACCCCACAACATTAGGTATCCCAGAAATAGATTCAAATTCGTTTTTTATCTTCCTCAAGCTATCCTCATCAGGCCATTGCAAATACTTGGGCATTAAAACATTCCTTATAGCTGAACAAACTTCAAGAACTAATTTGTGGCAAGTAGAAATACCTAAACCAAACCTCTTTGATACAAGTCTAAGTGGTTCACCAGTAGCCAGTCTCCAAATACAAACAGCAACTCTTTGCCTAACAGGAATAGCATTACGCAAAGTAGTATCTTCTTTAGCAATAACTGAATTCAACCCCTCACATATCATATCAAAAGTAGACTTACTCATTCTAAAAGCTTTCTTGAATTCTTCCTCTGGGTAATCTGGTCTGTTACAATCATCCCACCATTCTTTATCTCTATCTTTCACCCATAACCGTCTTTGTTGACCACCAGCACCGCCACCGAGCTTTGCGTCTTTAATTCCATCACTAGGAGGCACCCCATTAGAGACAGCTGAAGCAGCCACAGCACCAGCTACTGCCCTTGACTTCTTGCGTTTCTTTCTTTCTGTTTCTTGAATCTCAACATGGTAATCTTGAAAGTTGTCGTAGTATTCAACCATTGTCTTGATCTTTTTATTGTGGTTTGCATCCAGTAATATCTTCTCTTCATTCGAAGCCTTGTTTTGCTCTTCTTGCTCGCTCTTTTCTTGTTGCTCTAGCAATATCAATGATGTGATGATACCCTTCAAGTCTTTCTTCTTTTTCCTGCTGCCATCCTGTTCAAATGAATTGTTGCCATCGCTATCGTTTTCTTGCTTGTCGTCTTTTCTTTGCCTTTTCTTGGGGTTGCTGATGTTATTGTGTTCATTCATTTGGTGGAGTGAAGATTGAAGCAAGGCGAACATAAGAGATAAGTTTTGCTGTTGTTGTTGGTTTGGGGAGGAAGGGAGTTTCGTACATATAAGAAAAGGAAAAGAGTTGAAAAATAGGAAACAGAATGAAGAAGAGAGAAATTGGAAAGTCTTCGAATTTGCTGTTGGCTTTTAAAGATTGTGTGAACGATGTGTGAACACACTGACCATGAGAATAGGTTTGCTTTTACTTGTGCGATGATTGAATTTTATATGCCCTGATTGGGTGAGCCTGTCTCTTCTTCTTTTTTTAATTTGTTAATCACAGCTTAAGCAGTTAATACTATTTTTTAAGTTGTTAATCACAGCTTAACCATTTAATACTATTTGTGAGACACCTAAATGACAACTGGTTTTCATCCAGTGGAACAAAAATTATGCATCCATACACAAGCAACATGAGTTCTTTTTGTATATCAACATTATTTCTAGGACAGCACTCTACACTAAACTAACCATTATTTATCTTTACGAATCTAATTTAGGTCAGGTATTATTTACAAATTTATTTGGTTTTAGCCTTTTAGACCCTTCTTCTTAATCATCATGCTTGTGATCTCTGAGATGGTAAAAACCTCTGCAGAGGCATAGAGCTGTCATAGACTACAGTGATAGGTAACCAAGACAACGTGGGGGGTGAGGTGTGAACGGGAGGTGCTAAATATTAGACTTTATGAGATGTTTGGGGTGGGGGAGGTGGCGGTAGGTGTAAGACGGTGACTTTAGGTTAACACGGTTTCTTTTGGATTCAGGCTACTTTACCAAAGCTCTGGAATGCTGCTGATGTGTTTGGGTCTTATCAATTTGCTGCATTTACAGCCATTCTTAAATATTTTATTTTATTTTATTTTTAAAAGAAAAAAAAAAAGATTTGCATTCGGAGGCATTAAATGTGGACCAATTAAAATTGATTTTGTGTGCTACATGTAAGAAGTGACTCTAAATGGGGCCCTTGATCATGCTGACATGGATACTCCATAATTAATTAGAGCAGTGATTATGCAACTATTTATTTATTTTATTTAACAAGGCCAGGGCTGATCAATGATAGGGACTTGATGAAATCAAATTTGTCAAGATACTTGGTGAATTCTTGATAATGATGTCTATGAGGGATTTTCTTCCCCCTTCTTTTTTTTTTTTCGGCCTTTAAATTGTTGATAGTTACATATCTTTTTTTTTACTTTAATTAAAACACCCGATTTGTAGAGAGAAAAAAAAAAAAAAAAAGATATTCAAAATAACGGTAAAGAAAGAATAGAAAGGAAAAGAACTTCAGTAGAATCTCTAATGCTTTACCCGGAAGTAAGAAATTTGAGGTCATAAAAGACAATAAAGTAATCCAAAATCAAGCACATAAAAATGGCATGGCTTTGGATCTCCCTCCAACAAGTTACTTGTAGTAAGCTGCAAGAATCATGCTTGAATTGGCTGACATTATCAAATGTTAAACTAGTTCTAAAATTTCTTAATTAAAAAAAAAAAAAAAAACCAAATAGAATGAGGCTCCCATAAGCTACGCGGATCTCATAAATTATTCCAGTCTGTCCATGTGAAAAATGGAAACCAAGTCATGATCAACAACAAAACCATCAATTTAGTACTCAAAAGAGTCAGCAAGATTTACTGCCATTTCTTTAGTGTATTTTGTGATCCAATGAAATGACAATAACAAATAGAAAGGGAAATGCCAATTAACCAGACTCAAGCGAGTTGATGGTAATTAACAAAATAGACCGAGTCAGAATGCTTGAGAAGGGAGGAATATACCGGGGGGGGGGGACCATGGAAGCACTTGATAAAACATGCTGGCAAATTCAACATTTCACGCTATTTTTGACCAAGCCACTAGCAATGGGCTAATAATAATAGTAAGCATGGCCGTTTTTCCTTGCAGTAAAGTTTGCCAAGTTCAAAACGAAATCCAGCCAATCTCTTCTTATAGCTTTTGCAGTTCTGCTAAAATTACAGAATGGTAAACGATTAGATGAACTTTCACTTTTTCAGAGTTTCTAGAGAGGTAACAGGTCTATCTTCCACCAAAATACCAGTACATGGAACGTGGAAGCACTTTTTTTTACGTGGTCACCCAGTTTGAATCTGATGGAATGAGCAATATAGGTTTTTGGCCAATCCTCTACAAATGAAAATTAAAACTCAAGGTCAGATCTAACAAAGTGATATGTTCAACAACGACAATATGTGCTTTTTTCTTTTTTTGCCATTCAACAAGTCTAAACCACAAAGAATTTTTATTCCTGTTCCTTTTAAACAGAAATAGCCTCGTCTGATACCATTCCAACGTCAAACATTTGAAAAATTCAACGATTTTATTAGTGGGGTTGGCTCGTATCAAAAAACATTTGCATCAAATTGACCAAACTACTACTGATTGTTCAAACAAGTAATTGTTTTCGAATCCAATCTAATTATCACGTATTTAACAGATGTACAACAGTTAGTACTGTTAACAAAGTTAATTTGACAGGTGTAAGTAAAGAAACAGCAATTAAAAAGAGTAAATACCGAAGATTAAAGGGTAAGACTGCATCTCTGAAGCATTGTTTCCGGGATAAGAAGCTGGCCTCATCAAGTGAACCTAGACATATGAGAACAAATTGTAGGTCAACAATGCACCTCCAGGATCAGGGAATTACCAGTTGCCAACTATAAGCAAATTGTGAGGAGGCAAGTTAAACCAACTCATCAATTGCATCATGCCAGAGATATCGACAAGCTTGCATATTTCATACATGAGTCTAAGCAAGGGATTTGCCAGCCCATTCCCGTTCTCGTCTCTTTTGCTTCGCTTGCATCCGGTTAAATTTCTCTTTCCCCTTCTCCAAAAGGGGGTCCTGCACAACATAGTCATTTGGATCCTCTTTGCGAGACATACCATCCTGTTACAATTGCAGAAAAGGAGAACTTCCTTACTTTTGTTGTGAATAAATTGATAAGAATTTTAAAAAGAAAAATGATCATATTTCAATAATTACTGTTATGATCATGGTTTTTGCCTTCGAATATAAACCTATATGTTGCATAACTTCAAGGTTCTTGTTCAAAGAAGATCCAATATCAACTATTTACTGTTTTTAGCATGATTTGCACCTTTTCAATGCAACTCAAATAGGTCTAACATTGCACTGTCAGGAAGTTGTTAGGCCTGCGATCAGAATTGTGTATAAAAGGAAAGGGAAGGCTGGTGCAAGTGCAAGGTTGAATAATGATGGGCTAAAGAATAATGATGGGCTGAAGCAAGATGAGTTGATTCTGGAAGAGGGGCAGTAAGCTTGAGCAAGGGCAGAGGTTGGACTGTAGTGCTACGTCAATATTGGTTACTTTTACATTACAAATTGATATGTAGTTAAATTACAAATTGTTATGATTAGTTACATTGATTAGTTACATTTTGGGGATTGGCAGGCCATTAGGTATTCCGTTTAGGGGCAACAGCCTGTCAACCTAGAGTTGGTTACAACAGATTCAGGGGTGGGGAGGAATATATAAGCTGGTCTTTCAAGAAGAGAAGGGGAGCATTTTTTGGATGTAATTTTGGGGTGACATTTTGTCAGGGAGAGACACAGCCTCTCGGATTGCTGTTAACGTTCTGATTTCAATAAAAGATTATAGCAGGTGGATATTCAGAGGTGTGTTAAGCATTATATCTTTTGATCCTTCCTTATTGCTCATTTGTGTTCTATCAGAAGTTTGCCATCTTCAATTTCACTCTGAACCATTTTACCAATTTGAACTTTATTTGTTTCAATAGCAACTCCAAAGATTAACTATAGCATGAAAGTGCTAGAAATGATGGCAGCTAAAATAATATCAGGTCATCTGGTTTCCAAAATCGTTCAAAGAAATAGAATTCATACTGAAGCTTACCTTGCCACGTTCAGGTGCAAATGCTAGGCGGACAGTGCTCCAGTCTGACAAATCCTCATTATCAGCAACTGCAGATTCGCTGTTTGAGGCATCAGCTTTTGTAGAGAGGGTCTTCCTAAACTTTTCAAGTTTTGCTAAAACCTAACAAGCCAGAAGAAAAGGATTAAAATAAACAACTACGTATTACATGTAGAAGAAACTCAGGTCAACTTATATAAGAACACAAACAGAAGATAGATGTGAAACAAATAATCATAGAAAGTTTTTGCTCCATCCTCTCAATCCATCCTTGTTCTGACTAATCGTTCATCATCATTCATTTACTGGCTGAGAGGATAAGGAGATAGAAGAGAAATGGTAACCATTATTGTCCTAACATTTTGATTTCTTTTCCTTTCCTCCATCTCTCAGGAAAAAACAAATAAAAATAAAAGGAGTATATTCTGACATTTGGCAAAATCTTCATTCAAACATTTTAGTTTCCTTTCTTTGTGTTTTTTCTTCCCCCTTTAATGAACATTCCCATCCTTTTCTGGTGGTGTTCCCTAAAGGATATGAAAAACCAATATGATCTTAGAGAAAATTAACAGAAATATATTAAGTTGTTAATAATATTAAAAACATGTTCACATAATCCTCATCAATTTCCAAGTTTCCCTGATATTTTCATCTACTTCTCCCATTCCTGACCATCAAAATTCCCTAGCAACTAAAATTTTGAAAGTCAAACAAGATCAACCACTTAAAATTTTTCTAGCCACAAACTGGAATAAAGAGAAGAAACCAGATAAGGGAGTTAAGGCACAAGGATGAACCAAAATCATATAACATACATCATCTTCACGTCCTTGAAGTCGGCGCTTCTTCTGTTTCTTCAATAGTCTTCCTCGTTCGGTTTCACCCAACAACTGCAGGTCTGCATCTGCATTAGCCATGCGTTCAGTCCTGGCTTCTGACCCTATTCCCTTTTTCTTCAATGACAATTTTTCTACCTTTGGTTGTTCATCATCAGTGCTTTCAGCATTGGATCTGGCAGGAAGAAAATTATAATTCAATTTTACGATTTAACCTTGGTTTCAGAATTCTGCAAATACAAAAAACAATTTCACCAACTAACCAGGTAAGAAGACTCCAACAACACAACCTATTGATCACAATGACAAGAAAGAAATTATTTTGAACACTGAGCACTGATCCTTGTACCACATAATTTGTTGTGGTACATGTCAGCACCTTTTCATTGGCAGGCATGGGTATTTGGCAGTTTAACTAAACTCTAGATCATGCATCTTAGCCACTTCCGCTCATCAAACTAAAAGTTCTCGCATCCACCATAACAACCTTTAGTACAATTTCATGGTCATTCATGATTAATACCATTGCATCGCTGATGCAGAGGGCCTGGGAAAGTCCAGCTACATTATGCCTGATATGGTTTCTATGCAAATTCTTAGTGTAAAGTGAAAGATGAGCACATCACGAAAATCTTTAGAGGACATGCAACCTCAAAAAGAATAGTGACAATTTCAGAAAGGAAAAAAAGGCAATCATTCATATCTAACCTTGCAGAGATTTGACGATCCTTTGAGTTAGAACTCCCTGCACACCCAATATAAATCAACAGATACATATTAACAACTGAGGCAATCACGAAGAAGAAAATTATTCATCAAATGGAAGAAAGAGTACAGAGTAGACAAAATGATCTAGATGCCAAATTGCCCAACCACTTGATAGATATCAAACGTGATCAATAATCAATATAAAAACCCCTTATGTTTTCCAGGCTTTGATACATTAATAGGATGTGATGACTCTAATTTGGATATGCCAAAAACGACAAATAACAAAATTGTTTTGATCAACTTATTAAAGAAAAAGATGTTAGCAGAGTGATCTTTTTTGATATATCAACTAAACTGTAATTTCAGCAATAATCTTCCTCTCATGCAATGGTTTATTCATAAAGTAAAGTTGAAATAACAATAATATAAACAAAAACCATTATGTGAAAAATCAAGTGTCAAAGTCATTTGTTTATTCATTGTATCCATTTTATGTTATGTCTTCTGTCAAGATGTTGCATATTCACATTTTTTTTCAGATAGCATTTAGCTTAGTAATTACTTATTGATAACTTCTAATAATTGTTCGTATCTATCAGCTGGGCAAGCTTCTTCATGTATGTTCCTGTGTGTCTCTGTATGTGCTTGTCAACTTCTTTGCATTCAAGGAAGCATTTCGCTAGTGTTACATAAAGAGAAATCACTTTTGGAATGGCCAATAACCTATACAGTTAGCTAGCCTTTCTCCTCCATTGTTTTCTGCTCTGCTATTGCGATTTTAAGTCAGTTGAAAATAAAGAATTTAAAATCTAGATAGAAAGGGATATATTGCTTCGAAAAGAAGAAAATAGAGCAGCTGAATGTTGTGAAAATTCACCAGATGAAAATGTACAGGAAAGTGTCACGGTACCATTTTGCTTTGGCTTGGGTGGAACATCCCCAAGCTCCTTTCTTTTTGAAGTATTTGCTGGCGCATTCGTGCATCAAAAATGGCCTCATCTTCTTCATCATCATCGCTGTTAGATGATTCAGCTCCTGAATCTCTCCGCGATGCTTCTTTCGTCGAGCTTGGAGCCTCTTTCAAAGTGCCTTTCTTTGAGCTTAGAGCTTCTTTCACGGATAACTGAATATCCCTGGTTTTTTTACCTTCAGGATAGTTCTGCATTGATTCAAACACCTCTCAATTTTTATTTTATTTTTATTTAAAAAAAAAAGAAAAAAAGGACCACTTTCGCATGTATATGCATAAATTTATATGCTAACTTATGAGGACATCATTCTAAGTAGAACAATTAGAATCACAACATTGGTTTTGCTAAGCAATATGGATGTGGGTGTCAAAACCTACAATTTTACAGTATCTGCGACTTGCAGGAGAGTTTTCCAACTGAAAACTTGGAATGTACCAGACCATAAATAATGGTTCAAACTCCAAAATATGCAGTATTGCCAACACACCACACAATTTTGTAGAAAACTTAAACATAACTATTATTTTTGCAAAATTTGCAGTATTTAAAGACATTCAAAAATAAATCACAGCTATATCTATGTGTTCAACAGTAGAATTTCACTAGCATTTGCTTTTTCCCTGTGCCCTTTTGTCTAGATTTTTAGTTGTAGTATTTCTGCCCTTTAATCATGGGAATACCCTACTTATTTGATCATAAAAATCATAACAGTGAGTATGGCATCATTACCGATTCTTTACTTGGATTTTCTTCTCTTAGGAGACGAGGATCATTCAATACGTCATGACTACTCTTGATCTTTTGCTTAACGGCTGCCAATTCCTTCTCCTCTTCTTCAGCTTCTTCTCCAAAAGAAAGCAAATTCAGCTTTCTGCATTAAGCAAAGCCTTAATATAGTAAGAGGGACAACAATAAATGTCTTTACATTCTCAAAATATGACATTCTGTTAGGTTTGGGAAACTTACTTCACAACTTTCTTCTTTGAATCTTTATTTTCAGTTTCAGTTGCAGATTCATTTGAGGGCTTGGAAGTTACCCTTGGAATGATATCTTCAAAAGGGTTCCATAGTACCTAAAAAGGGATTTCAATAATATGTCTACCCCTTAAAACTTCCTCCAAACTTTGTGACCACGGACTATCAAGAGAATGAAGAAATGAAATTGATACAAAGTGCAAAGGTATATTATATGGACATATCATTTACCACATGCAGTAAAAACAAGATATACAAGCATAATATACCTGCAATATATCATACACCTAAAAGACCATACTACACGCATGTGTTTGCATAATCATCAATCACAATTGCCAAAACTGTCAAACCTTTAACAGCTCCAGAAATTGTTATGCATTTATAATCTAAGATATGCATTTCAGAGCACAAACAAGCCTACCTCAACTGATGTTATTCTTGGAGGTGGATCTAATGGCCGATCATCATGCTTGTTAGTTTCAACCTCCCCAAGAGACAGAAGATTATATACTGAATCCCCAGTAACCTGAAAACCAAAAAAAAAAAAAAAAAAAAAAAAAGGCTCAAAATAACCCAAAACATTTAAACCCTAAAAGACAAACCTACATTACCTTTCCAAAAATAGTATTCTTCTTGTCAAGCCATTCACACCTTTCCAAGGTGATAAAAAACTGGCTCCCATTTGAATGTGGCCTACCCGCATTTGCACATGCAACTAACCCTCTATGTTTAAATCTCAGACGCGAATGATACTCATCCGCAAAAACATTTCCATATATACTTTCACCACCTACAAATATCAATAAGCATCGATATTCCAATTAACAATATCGCCGAAGAAAAAAATTACGTAAAAGACAATAATTCCTTCTAATATTACAAATAACTACAAAATTTAACCAAGGAAAAAAAGTACTTCAATTGTTAAATAAAGCAACAAATTTTTAATTTCAAATGAAAAAAAAAAAAAAACTCACCAAATACATCCCAATTTTAACCAAATTCAAACACAACGTGCATTGCCAATACAAAATTCAATCACTAGTGATTAATAATCACACTTCAGGCTTATTAACAAACATATAAAAATCACTAATCTACAGTAAACTATAAGAAACCCAAAAAATCCTAAGGCAAACCCTATATTAATAGGAAAAAAATGGCTGCCCATCAAATTAAACAGAAGACAGAACTTACAGGGTTACCTACCTGTGCCAGTGCCAGTAGGGTCGCCGCCTTGAACAAGAAAGCTTTTAATTATTCGATGAAAGATGGTGTTATCATAGTAACCTTCGAGGCAGAGTTGTACAAAGTTTCTAACAGCTTTTGGTGCTTCTTTAGGCCAGAGCTCGATGTCTAAAGGACCATACGTTGTGTTTAGTATCACTTTGCCTTTTGTTGGTGGCTCTGATACGTAAATTGATGACATTATTCTGTGTTAACCAGGATCAGGGGCAGTGATGAGAGATTTTGGAGTTTTTAATTGAGCGAAAGGTGTTTGTGGTTTTGTTTCCGTGAATTTGCTGTGGCTTCGAGCTCGTAAATAACTTCTCACTTCATTTTTTATTTTTCAAGGCAACACGTTCATGACTTATATAAAAGTAAATTATAAATAAGTTCATTTAATTCAGTTATACGAATTAATTTTTTTCTTTCAAAATATAATATTTTTAATCTTTTTATAATTTAAATTTTAAATTTTGATTTATTTTAATTTTAAAAAATATAAAAAGAAAAAAATGAAAAATATTAGTAAGAAAATATAATCTTTTTTAAAATAAAATAATATTAAAGTATATTCATCGGTAAAAAAATATCCTTTAATATACGAAAGGTGTTTGGCTGTTGGCTGGACTAGACAGTGTTTTTTTTTCTCCCCTTCTTCTTCTCTTTCTGTGCCCGATTGCATATGTTTTGCGCCGAATATTATCCTTATAATTAACGGTTTTTTTTATTCCATAATAAGAATATTTTCGAATCAATAGGCATATTAATCACGATTAACTATTTTTTTCAGACAATTTTTTTAAGACACATCACATATATCGGAGAACCATTTTTTAGGACCCATCAAAAAAAAAACCACAATAATATTTACACAACACCTGAGCTTTTGGTGTTAGAGTTTAGATTTCTTTTAGCAAGGATGTTTTTGTAGGTCAAATATTAATGGATTCTTTGATTCATGCAAGCTCTCTATCATTGGTTTTCATGGTGTTAATTGGTTTTGAATCGATGAACCACAAGGATGGGGGAGTAGGAGAAAAAAAAATCCATGGAAAAGAGCCGTTGCTTCGGAGTGGTATCATAATAACCATTGGTTTCTTAATATCATCTACTATTTGTATGATAGACTTTTTTTAACTGGTTTCTAGCTATCAAATTGAATTCTTTGGCCTCATCTTATTTGTTTTATTATAAAAAATAGTTAGAAAAAATGAAAAAACATATGTGTGTATGTACAATAACTCAAGGCTCCGATAACAAATGGGGTCCAAAAAATTGTTATTGGGTCCATGGTTGGTGGTAACAATATTTCACACATATGCCATTTTTAAAATTTTTCTAATCATTTTTGAAAAAAATAAAAAATAAGGTGATAGGTAGGATGAAAAAAATAGTAACAAAATTTAAATATACAAAAATTTGATGGATAAAATAAAGGCTCAATACCTTTTTATATATATAAAATAAGTCAATTTTTTAATCTATTTTTTTTAAAAAAAAAAGCCTCAAATCTATCTTTATTATTTGAGTCTGTTTTCTAATATATTATTTTGATCAAAATTTTCAGCCAATTTTTAGAAATTAATTTTTATATTAATAAATATAAATCACTTATGTTAAATAATAAAGATAATTTTATCAAATTATATACCATGTGCAAATTACGTGCTTAATTTGGCTGAAAATTTTTAAAAAATTTAACTAAAAAGATAAATTATAAACCAACTTAAATAATAAAGACCTATTAAAGGCATTTAAAAAAAATTAGAAAATTGATCTATTTTACAAGGACATGTGAGGGTATTAAACCTTAAAAAAAAAAATCATCCACATAGTTAACCAATAGTGTTTAAATAAATTTTAAGATGCAAATAGTATAATAAATTTCTATGCAAAAATAATGGTTGTACGATGACGGTGAGAAATTTGCATCACTTTTATAACCAAATCGAGACTATCGGAAAAACATCATTTAGCGCGATATAAACCGCCGCTAATAATAATTGGTGATGATTTTGCGATAATTTAAAACCCTCTAAAAAAGCCTTCTTGCTAAATTAGTGATGCTTAATCCGTCGCTAAATAGTCATAAAATCATCGCTTAATAGTGTTTAGAAGGTTGCGGATTAGCAATGATTTTATAGAACCATCGCTAAATCTATCGCTATTTAGAGACATATTAGCGATCGTTTTTGAAAACCATCGTTAAATATGGTTAAATTTTACATCGTATATAGTGACAATTTTTAAATCATCACTAAGTTTTATATATATATATATATATATATATTCAATTAATTATTTCGTCGTGCATATGTTGTTAATAAGAAACATAAAATCTAATCCAACTTAATAACTACAATAACGACATGAAACAGATCTATAAATATTACAAAACCTTTGTAATATATAAAATTCAATCAAATCAAACATATATTCAAACACCAAATTATAGTAAAGTTTATTAATATTTTAGCAAAAAAATAAAAAATAAAAGAGATCAAAAAATATATTATGATGAAAGGGATACATGTCATGACATATTATCATTTTCATCGAACGCATGATGGTTAGTCGAAGGATCATTAGATGAACTATCTATTTGCTTATTCGGTAACATCTACCGCATCATTGCATGTTGTTCCTAAGTATACTTGCTCCAATCATCTTTGACTTTCTAGGAGTGATATAAGAGTACCTTCTAGTTTCGAATCTTTTCTTATTGTCTAGAAGTATTGGCCTCCATTTCCTTTTGATGTGCCCCAATATCGACATGAAATCGCGATGTAGTCGAACTAGAGGATGTACTAATATTAGAGTAAATAGTGAGAGGTTTGTGACATGAGTCCGTACATCATATTCCTCTTACTCGTCTCCTCCTCCAACGACCCTTATAAAAATCTCATTCATGTCGATGTCAAGTGATAAAATACTATCCGTCTCCGGACTAGAAACCTCCTCCTCAAATATTTTCTTGATGATCCCCTACATAATTGCACAAATTTTAATATTAAATAGCTATCTCAATTAGTTATATAAAAGTGGCATATGTGTATCTTCCATTGAGTAAACAAAAGTCGATGGAAATATGCACTCAAATTTGCATAAAATTAAAAGTATCTATATCTCGAAACAACTCATATCTTGAACCTTAATAATAGTAGAAATCAATTCTGTAAAGAATAACCTCAATTTAGTTAATGCTTGCCAAACATTTCTCGATAATAGGTCATGAAATACGACATGTATTAACCTTTGTATAAATACATAATAGTCATGACGTTTCATGCCATGTAATCCGAACTTGTTCATATTAGCACCCATAGCCAAGTTCGATATATATCTATCGAGAAACTCGAGTTGTTTAATCCATTTAAGCAATTATATTTTTTGTTGTTTATCTAAGGTGTATCATATTTTATGGTATTTTTTAGAGTTTTCATATGTTTCGATTTTTGGCGAGTGGACAATAAAGTTTTAAATCTTTTTTAGAGTTTGTATTGTCTTTGGTTTTTCTTGACACACTCATAACTGTATTAAACACATTGTCGAAGATATTTTTTTTCAATATGCATCACATACAAATTATGCTAAATTACATTGGAACTCTAATAAGGAAGATCACGGAATATATTCCGTTTCTTCCAACCACAAACTCTAAATAAACTACGTATCGTTACACTCTTCACAACCCTCTTCCATGACTTTCAACAACCCCTAATTTTCTATTTCATGTAAAATATTCATGCCAAACATAATCGGAGAATTTTCTATGATAATTGTATTTTTTTTTAATGTGTCCTCGCTCCTCCTAAAAGGATGACTTTCTAATAGAAACTTACGGTGATTGTCAAATCAATAAGTCCCGTTACTATTACGAAGACCGAAAGCATCAAAATTTTCTATGTAATAAGGACATGTTGTTTTACCCACAATACTTTAACTTGACAACATTGAATATGTGAGAAAGTTGTTGATTGTCCATATGACAATGACTCATATATGAAAATTTTGCTTATGAGACATATCATAGGAAAGCATATCAACTTCCCATAAATCAACCAACTTTTTAATAAAGGGTCGTAAGTACACTTCTAAATTGATATTTGGGTTTTTTTTTTGTCCTAGAACAATTATAGTTAAGAACATATATTCTTTCTTCATACACTTTCACGATAACAGATTATAAGGCATTATAATTACATGTCAAATCGACATTCCTCATTTCTTATACAAAAGAAGGATGTATATGATCGAAATGTTGCTATGCAAAAGAGTCGAGCAATGATACATGATATCCGCATCAACTCCATGTTCGACATGCCACGTCATATCACTAACTATGGCGATCAATGCATACATCCTCCGTAACCACAAAGTTATAAGAAAATAATACATTTATTTTTATATGAGATATAAGATTCTTTAACTGATCTCTACTTAAAATTTCAATATCGAGGATGGTTACAGATTTTATAAGTAATTCTCTCGTTGTCTTCACCCTAATAAATCTTACAACCATTTATACAGACTATGGATCTATTGAGTCGATAAACCTATCGGTTCCACTAACTTTTCGTATTGTTAAAGTCTTCTAGCATATAGTTATGAACATGCATTAACTCTTTCATAAGTTAACATAAGTCGTCGTAACACTTCTGTGAAAAACTATGTTCAAACGTCGGGTTTAACAAACTTGTTATTGTGGATAATTGTGAGTGGTTTTCTGATTCGAGCCATATCTCCCTATTAGATACGTTTAACAAATTATAAAATACATGGGTATCGGGGGTTGGGACTTCATTAGTGTTAGACGGATTAAATGATGGACTAACCGCATCCATCATCATTGTGTGATATGGATTAGCCGAAGATTCATCGAATATTTGTTCAGCTTGAACAAAATTTACCAAGTTATCACCATATATGATCGACTCACTTTCTCCATGACGTCTTCACACATAATACCTAGACACAAAATCATATTTTATCAAATGGTACTTAACCGTATCAGGATCTTCATAACTATGATTCTTACATTTTTTTTTTATATAATGACATCTTATCTTATATTTTTCTATATACTCCAAATGACTAATGCAAAATCAATTAATTCATTTGCTACATCTATGAAATCCCGATTTAAAAAACCATCGGTATATTGATAGTCAATCAATGAACCATCCGAATTCATAATATTTTAATGCAAAAATAACTTAATTAACACCTATTTTTATTAAAGTAACACCTAATTACATTTTTTAAATAATTTTTAAATATTTTAATTAAAAATAATTGACTTAATTTAACAACTAAAAAACTTAACCGACAACCAAATTGATTAAACTAACACATAATTAAATATTTTAAAAAAATTTAATTAACAAATAATTTACTTATCTTAACAACTAAAAAACATAATTAACTACCAAATTGATTAAACTAATAAGTAATTAAATATTTTAAACAAAATTTAATTAATTTAGATAACAACTAATTTACTTATTTAACACATAATAAATTAAAATAACACCTAATTAATTTTTTAAACAATATTTTAATATTTTAATTAACAACTAATTGACTTAATTTAACAATTAAGAAACTTAATTAACTATCAAATTAATTAAACTAACAAGTAATTATATATTTTAAACACAATTTAATTAATTTAATTAACAAGTAAATTACTTATTTTAACAACTAAAAAACTTAATTAACAACCAAATTAATTAAACTAACACAAACTCAATATTTTTAAACAATATTTTAATATTTTAATTAATAACTAATTAACTTAATTTAAAAAAAAACTTAATTAACACCTATTTAATTAAACTAACAAACAATTAATTGTTTAAAAAATTAAATAATTTTATTAACCACAAATTAAATTAATTTAATTAATAAGTAAAAGACATAATTAATTAAACTAACACCTATTAAATTTTTTAAAACAATTAAAGTATTTAATTACCAACAAATAAACTTAATTTAATTAACAACTAAATTAATATTAATTAACACATAATTAAATAAACTAACACTTAATTAATTTTTTAACAAATAATTAAATTAATTAACAACTAACAAATTAACTAAAACAACAAAATAAATTAAACTAACTAACAATTAATAAATAAATAAATAAATATAAAATATAAAATTATTGAAATAAATGAAAAAAATTAATAAGTTACCAATTACACAAATAGAAGAGTAGAGAAAGAGGAGTTGCTGCGAACTCATGATGAAGAAGAGGAGGAGCCATTATCGCTGCACTTGTTCATGAAGCAAGAGGATGGAAGGGAGGAGGAGAAGAAATGAGAGAGAAGAAGAAAATGGAAGAGGAAAAGAGAGGAGATGGAGGGGATGAAGAGAGACAAAGAGCTTGGAGGGAGTTGTTGTCGTAAGCTGGAGGGGAAATGGGGAAGTGGAGTCATTGGAAAGAAGATAAGAAGAAGATGATGATGATGATGAAGAAGTGGGAAAAAATTTCAAGCGACGGCTATTTAAAGATTTTAAGTTTTAGCGACGACTTCAAACCATCACTAAATATTAATTTTTTTTCAAAATTTTTTGTTCCTCCATGGTAACAAATTAGTGACGGTTTTTGAAAACTATAGCTAATATCGGTGATTAGCGACGGTTTTCAATAAAAAATCGTTGCTAAATCTTATATTTTCATGGTTTTTAGCTTAAGGATTTTAGCTATAGTTTTTAACAAACCATCGCTAAAACCGAGTCACAAAAAAGAGTTTTTAGCGACGAGTTTCTAAAAAACCATTGCAAAAAACCTATTTTTTGGAATTAGAGATGGTTTAGTTAAAACTTTTGCTAAATCCTAAAACATTTAGGTTTTTATCGACGGATTTTTGAAAACAATTGCTAAAAGTGGCCTAATTTGATCGAATCAATGATCGTTTAGAAAACCGTCGCTAAAAATCAACATCCGACCAAAAAATAGCTAGGGATTGTTGAAAACCGTCGCTAATTCATGGTTTTAGCGATGGTTTTAAGAACAATTGCTAGATAACCATCGCTAATTGTAATTTTTTCTAGTAATGCGATAAATTAAATAGGATTGGACAAAATTGAGAAACCATTATTATATATAAATATATAGGTTAATTAAGGACAAGTTTTGTGGTTCGCCCTAATTTTCTTAAGCATATTTTTCTTCTCAAGTGAATATTAATTGCAGCAACATCTCATTTTCAGAAGTTGAAAAGCTTATATGGCCATGCCTGTCTTTGAACGTGGAATATTATTGGTTGCTTAGGCCAACAAGGATCAAGTTTGTCTCAATGGCTTTGGATATCCTGCCAGTAGTAGCTAGGTTGTCAGTCCCACCAATTGTCCAGGAACTTCTCTTGCTTATCCTTTTATAAAAGGGAATGAATTTTTCAGTACTTCTCTTGAAAAATCAGAGCTTTTTCATGTTTTCTTTTTTTGGTCTTAATTAAGTATTATCCAGAAACAATTAAGGGAAGGTTGTTTGTCCCACTAGGTTTGGTTTGACCAGCAACAGCAAGTCAAATTTGCAAGATAGCCAGCCAAACAAAGTATTTACTATATATTCAAGGCATAAATAGGTTTATCTCAAAGTCAAGTCTTCACGTAGTCCAGACAGAATGTCCTGGTCAAAATTGCCTAAAACAAGTCCTGGAGGGAGAGGCACAAAACTCAAGTTTGTTCCACCCCTGTCTGTTGGACAGGTTTCAGTTCCACCTAGAGAGGAGATGGATAAAAAAAAAAAAAGGTTAAAGATTAGTTTCTTCCTGTCTTATTTTTCTTTAGCCAGACTCAACCTCTGATGGTTTTGGAGATCCTGACGCCAATTTTTGTAGCATCACCAACTTAGTTTTAATTAACCATATCTAATTAATTCAAGGGGCATCGACAATATTCCTCTAAATGTCTTCCAATGCCAAAGCTGATGATCATGATGATTCACTCGTCAATGCCACTGCTGTAGCCATTGACAAAGACAAGAACAGCCAGCTTGCTGTTCGTTGGGCTGTTGATAATCTCACGGCCAAGAACTCGGTTATTGTCCTAATCCATGTCAAGCAAAAAAAGAATCAATATCGTAGGTACCCTCTCTCATTTCTCATTCTATAAATGAGTTGAGGTTTTTGATGTTGTTTTGTCTGATTATTTTGTTTTATCTGTTGAGATTCATTCAGCAGTTGGCAATGGTCAGGATGATGATACTGTCGACGAGGTGCAGCCGCTTTTCACTCCCTACCGTGGATATTGTGCCCGTAAAGGGGTAAGTAAAGTTCCTAGCTACGGCCTTGTAAGGTTATATAATTATAACTACGTACCTCATCATATATAACATCATAATCCATTGCCAAGTTCAGGCTCGTTTAAAGGAGGTTGTACTTGATCACATTGATGTTGCCTCGGCGATTGCGGACTACATCAACAGCAATTTAATTGGAAACGTTGTCTTTGGTGCATCAGGAAGAAATGTTCTTACAAGGTCTTTCTCTCAAAACATTGAACTAGAAAAATCTTTGGTTTACAGAAATTATATATCATGTCATGTACAGTACTAAACTATCTCTCATTTTATGTGTGCACAGGAAATTCAAAAACCAAGATGTGCCATCAAGCTTAATGAAAATTGCCCCAGATTTTTGTTCTGTTTATGTAATCAATAAAGGAAAGATCCTCTCTACCCAGAAAGCACAACGGGCACCTACTTGTAATGTTCCACAAAAGACAGCATCAATGCCAGCAATTCCATTTCAAAATCTACAGGATAATGCTGAACTAGATCCAGATGGAGTTAGGTAGGACTTTTGCTGCATATTTCACTTCTTATCAATGAAAAAGATCCTTTGACAGAGATATGCATTAGCTTAATTAACCATCAAAAGATAATATTGCATGGTGAATGAAGATGCCTTCCTTAGTATACAACTACGTACGCATGATGATTGAAAAGGAAGTATTCATTTTGAGTTAAGATAATCTATCTAGAGTGCTTTCTTAATCATATGCAATTAATTATGCATTGTTTAACCTTACTTTTTTCTCCCCCTTAAACTAGATCACAGTCTGCGAAAGGAGGGTGGAGAAGTGCAGAACCAGGTGGATTTCCTTTGGACAAGATCAATGATCCCATGAGAGGACCACAACGTGAGAGAAGCAGAATATCCATTTCTACTTTCTCAACGGACAGCACTGACCTTCCTTTGTCCGGCGGAAGATCCTCAACTTCCCGTGATTTTATACCTGATGGGTCTCTATATTCAGGGATATTCACACCGGAAATTATGGACAGCTCAGCCCAAGGTTTAGATTTCTCTATTGCTTCAGCCTCTTCTCTGAATGAGCCAAATGCGGTAAGTGCAAAAGGGTATTCACTCAATACCAGTAGGTTTCTCTAGGTTTTAACTTCTTGTAAATTGTAACCATACAATAAGAATCACTGCATTGTCAAAAATGGATGTCAGTAACAGTAGCAATATTGGATTATGCATTGCAGGACTCCTTAGAAGCTGAGATGCGAAGACTGAGGCTTGAGCTGAAGCAGACTATGGAAATGTACAGCACAGCTTGCAAAGAAGCACTCTCAGCCAAACAGAAGGTAGTTTTATACCGTCAGTGAATGGCCAAAAATGTGAGAAAGAACTTACTGTCATTGATCTCATTCTTGCATTTGAACATATTGTAGTTTCCATACTCAGTTGGCTACTGAATACCTGGAAGGAACTTAATTGGTAGACTGTAAAGAAAATGATATGATACACCACAATTTAATGCACCATTAGCAAATGGTATGCCTTTTAAATTGTTCAAATGGTTTCATGGTGGATGTTCTGGATCCAGGCTAGTGAACTTAATCAATGGAAGATGGACGAGTTCCGTAAATTTGAGGAAGCAAAGCTTGCAGGAGAGGCAGCTTTTGCTATGGCAGAGTTGGAGAAGGCTAAGTGCAAAGTTGCCATTGAAGCAGCTGAGAAATCACAGAAACTAGCAGAGATGGAAGCACTTAAAAGAAAAAAGCGGAAATGAAAGCCGAGCAAGAGACAGAGGAGAAGAATCGTGCTTTGAATGCTTTGGCACACAATGATGTGCGGTATAGAAGATACACTATTGAAGAGATTGAAGAAGCCACAGATAAATTCGCATCATCAAATAAAATTGGTGAAGGAGGATATGGACCTGTGTATAAAGGCAAACTTGATCATACCCCAGTTGCCATCAAGGCGTTAAGACCTGATGCTGCTCAAGGGAAGAAGCAGTTCCAACAGGAGGTAATGTACCAAAATAACGTTGTCAGGATCATCAGTGCGATAGTTTGCACAGTTTAATCGAGTCATTCATCTTTAAATAGTTCTGCATGTTTATCCTCTAAAACCATCAAATATTGGCTAGAAACCTGATTATTATTTAAGTTTGGAGTTGTACTAATTCATTACTGATTTAGCATTCCTGGCAATGTGATCTCGCATAGGTAGAGGTTCTCAGCACCATTAGACACCCACACATGGTCCTTCTTCTTGGTGCCTGCCCTGAGTATGGAGTCTTGGTATATGAATACATGGACAACGGAAGCTTGGAAGACAGGCTGCTTCAAAAACAAAACACCCCTCCAATTCCATGGAGCACACGATTCAAAATAGCTGCTGAGATTGCTACCGCACTTCTGTTCCTCCACCAGGCAAAGCCAGAACCCCTTGTCCACCGTGACCTGAAACCAGCAAACATTCTTTTAGACCGTAACTATGTGAGCAAAATTAGTGATGTTGGCCTTGCTCGGTTAGTCCCTCCTTCTCTAGCTGATAGTGTCACACAATACCACATGACCTCAGCTGCAGGTACGTTTTGTTATATAGATCCCGAGTATCAACAAACAGGAATGTTAACTACAAGATCAGACATATACTCGTTGGGAATAATGCTACTCCAAATCATCACGGCCAAGCCTCCGATGGGTCTTGCTCATCAGGTGGGGAGGGCCATTGAAAGAGGAAGATTTGCAGACATGCTTGACCAAACAGTAGCAGACTGGCCTGTGGAAGAGGCGTTAAGATTTGCTATACTGGCATTGAAGTGTGCAGAACTAAGGAAGAGAGACAGGCCAAGCCTTGCCACAGTTATAGTGCCGGAGCTTAACCGGTTGAGAGACCTTGGAATGAACACAGAACAGCAAAGAAGCAACAACATTATCCAGAGACGTGGAGTAAGCAGCAGAGGTAGTAGCCGCAGTCCTCTTCCACATCCTAAGTCATCTTCACAGGCAAGGATGTCAAATGCAACTCAGGTTGGTCAATATTTACTCGTCATATTTTACTTTTCAATCTCCATGTTGGGCCGTAGCATGCGTTGGTTGGTTTCTGAATTCATATGTTTTCTAATGTGTTGTTTTGTTGTAATTAACCAGGATAAGGCATATAAGTCTTATGGAGAGAGGACTGAACAAGCTTCTAATCAGGAAGCGCGCAACAGCTAAGAAAGTTAAGAGGCAACTTACGAGAACCAAAACCAGAAAGCTAATTCCTGATGGAAAAGAATCGAAGAAGCGTTCAAAAACTAAAAGACGCGGGAATAGAAGGATGTTTGTAATGTGAGTTCTGATTATTTATTTATTTGTTTTGTAAGAAAACAAGATGAAGCAAGATCAGACATATATCAGAAATTATGGAAAGCAAGAACTGTGTATCTTCCCTCTTTTTTGATACTTGTGAAAGTGGCTTCTGCATTCCATTACTTTTGTTCTTACAGCACAATAGACAGTTATTTAGTTCTGAATATGTCTGTTTTATACTAGGTATGGGATGACAAGTACCTTCAAGACAGTGAATAGAGAAACAAGAAGGCTAAAAGGTCACAGGAAAATTTATCTTTCCTCGAACTTGGATATCAGTTTTATGTAATCTCTGCTGATAATAATTTTTCTCACAACTGTGACTGATACACATAAACCACAAAATAGTGTTCCTTCTAGATTGAACACAAGCATAAAGGAGCATGATTACCCTAACCCTTATCTGAATTTGGAAGGTTGAGAAGACTGAACAAAGCGACAAAACAAGATAAAGAACCACCTTATAATTAATAGAACAAAAGGTTGTTAGATTAGCAGAGCAAAAATGTTCATCAGTAGGATGGTCCACATAGTCAAGTTTGTCACAAGGAACGAATTAAGTATTCATGATGAGACAGCACCAGTTAATTCCTAATTAACACTGGTGTTCCACATGGGAGATATCCTAAATCAAGCAAGAAGTCACTATAACCTGGAGTGGGAGAGAAGATTCAGAAGCCCTACCCTGAAAGAAAAGAACAAAAAAAGACGAAAGACACAAAAAGTGTTAAAGTGAAGAGAGAATGAGTGCCCTCAAAACTGGATTATGTTCAGAGAAAGGTATAGGAGAAAGTAAGAATGGGATTGTCAAACAAGTTTTGCTTAGGATTCCTTCTCCCATGAAAATGAAAGAATACAAAAATACAAGGTCCAAACTCCAAAGAGATGATAAAGTAACGATCACCAGTGCTTTAGCTTGATATTTAATCATCACATCAAAATATTACATTATAAAATAATGCAGGAACAGTAATGCTCAGCTAAATCTTTGAACTACGAGCCTCTAGCTAAGTGGGAAGCAATGTTGCAATGTCAAATGAAAAGTCCAGCTGATTTCATCATGTCTGAGCCATATGTAGGTCCAAAATGTCTGCTCTGTTTATTCACACACATGTATATATATATATATATATATGCATCCATTTCAAACCAAAAGAAGAAAAAATTGTACCCTCAAATCATTTTGAAACAAGCTGGAGCTCTCTGTACAGCACTCCGATATATTCTGAAGGCACTTGACTTTATGGTCCCCTTCAATTAAGAGCAAGTTTGCCTCAATTTACTCCTTTCTAGTTTATTAAATAAATTATTACCACTCTCATTGGTAAATCCAGCCTTCTACAGACCAAAGACTAACAAAGGTGTGGAAGTGAATGTCTCTTTACAGCAATACACCCCTCGACCAATAAAGAAGCATCTAAAGAAAACTTTTTGAAGGAGCCATATACACGCTTGTAGAGCTAAAGAAGCCTACGTTGGCTGCATTTGGGCACTGTCTAGAAAGCCACAAGGTAGATAAGAATAACAGGTTTTTTAAGTCCGGATTGACAAAGCCACCAACACCATAACCTGGTTCCTTGATCCATCCACAAGAGATGGGCCATCTCAATGCTCTAATGACATCTCCAAGAGGAAGATGGTTTACCTTGTTTTTGAAGATAGTGATTGTGTTGGAGATGTTCATGCTTGCTAGTGCAAAATCTGATGATGATCCAATGGGAGAACCTGCGGCAGGATCACTTTGCATAAGTGATTGTGGTACATGTCCAGTCATATGTTCACCACCTCCTCCACCACTCCTGTACTATCCATCACCACCATCCGGCCACCACTCTCCATCTCCTCACTATTACTATCACTCCCCACCCCCACCGCCACGACGGCCTAAATCGCCACCTCCATCACCACCTTCATCACCACCAGCTTATCATTCGCCACCGCAGGAACCACAAGCACCTTCATGGTATCCTATATGGGGCACTCCTCCGCCTCCTGGTTATTTTTTCAACACTCCTAATGGGCAAGCCCCCCTACTAAGGGACAGTACCCCTATCCTTACTACTACTACTATTCCTCGAAGGCCTCTTCTCTTCCTATCCACGCTTCCTTTCTCTTCTCATTGGCGGTCTTTCATGTTTTCTACTTTCTGTTCTAGTCGAGTTGCGTGAAGGACGGGGTGAGGAGTTTGCTTGTAGATTATTTTAGACGGGAAAATTTGGGGGTATCCCAGGTTGGTATAGAATTGTGAAAATTAAGGAATTAGTACTAATTATGCTGTCCATTAATTAATTAAATTTCCGTTGGATGTTTGAAATAAAATTCTTATTTTTGTCATGCATGTATGATGCTGATATATTATTGTTACTGTTTCTTTTCATTTCTGCATTGCTCAGTTCTAATTCAGTGACGTAAAAGACAGCAAATACTGCAGATTTCTTTCAAGTTATAAAGGGTACGTGTGATTAGGAGCAGTAAGTTAATATTCTAGGCAGATTGCAGTACTGAAGTAATGAATGAAATTTCTTTACCACAAAGAAACCCTTTATTTTTCTTGGAGATGATCAATCTGTACATGAAAAAGCCGGAGTGTAGTAATTAATCTTTTCGGGTTTTCGGTAAAAGGTAAAGATTCAATCTAGGCCCTGATCGATGCCTTTCAGTGGCATATATATATACATACCCATATAGACACTCATATTTATATATGCTTCTTTTAGCTGGTGCTGAAAAAAGAAATTGTCTAAAACATGTAATTAACTATTCATGGAAGACAAGTTTGCATTGCAATTTCATCAGGATTCTTTGAAATTGTTAATCTAATGTGATATATTTTTATGATAACTCAAAATTGAGAGATGATAGTATGATTTTTCATATACATTTTTTTGTGATATCTCACGATTTGCCCTGAGGGTAAGGCTTTATTCTGCCTTTGGAAAATTCTTACCCACTTTCCCAAGTCTCCATCTAGCGGATAATCTCTAGAACCAAAATGCACGAGAAACAAAATGGTACGTTGCGTTGGTGGATGGATTCGTTGAAAGCACGAGGTAGAATATTGGATTAACCTCTACATTGGATATTCTTGGATGCATATGCAGGTGGAGATAATCCTTTGCCTTTCATTTATGCCATAAATTAAAACATGTAATCAATCAAGTTAATTTGAACTCTAGAACATTACATTTGCTAGCTCAATATTAATTCATACTATTTCTCTAGCACACTAGTATCATAGATTTAAATAGTGATAGTTATATTATGCAACGATGTAACGACTATTATATAACGGTTTCAAAACATTACGTTATTATTATTTAATATTATATAACGAATATGATTTTTATTTTATTATTTGAATAAATAGTGATCCGCAATCACAATTATCTTTTTAACTGCATGCATAGGCTTTGACCTCCAAATTATTTGGTCGACTTGTATAGATTTCTTAGAGGATCAAGTTTGCTTGATATGTTGGATTGCATGCTCTCAATGATGAATTGGTGAAGCCAAATCTCAAGGGACTTTTTTTCTTCTCGCACACACTAAACATTATAATAATTATGTTATTTTAATAATTTTATTTTATTTATTTATAAAACGAGTTTTTTTTTAAAAAAAATTATTTGAATCTTGTATTCTTTGATTTTTTTTTTTTTTTTGAGATTCTCTATTTTTTTTATTAAAAACTTTCATTTTTTGAATTTTTTTTACTTTAAATTTTTTATTATAACATTATCAATTAGTGTTACAAGGCAAGGTTCGGTGCGAGACCGAGTATGGTATGTAGAAGAGACATGAAGGAATGCGAGTCCATGTGGCTTAACTAAGGTGGATTGGATGTGTGACGAGTGGTAAAGAAACAGAGCTAGCAGGATAGGTCATCAAAGGGGAAAATAACTAACACTCATGGCATGTATGTTAGGAGTTAGTTTTGGCGAGTTAAGAGTCGTTGTAAATTAGTTAGAAGCTGTTAGGGAAGTACTTAGACTAAGCTGGTATAAAAGGAAGATTGCAGAGAGAGGCATTTTCTATCTTGGATCATTTGGCTAAATCTTCTCTTCTCGTTTTTTTTTTCTAATCTTCCCTCCGTAAAATAATTCTTACGTTTTATCAAATGTATTTCAATTCTTGTATTGATTGTTGCATTCATCAATAAAGCTTAGATTCATTTTATTCTTCTTAAGTTCTTCTCTCGTTCTAGAATTGGTCGGTAACAATTGATAGCGGAGCAACTCTTGGCACTTGTGAAGATATGATGGTAAAAGGAAATGGAGAAACGAGAAATGTAACGCCCCGCCTCGGTCGTATTTCTACTATCCAAGTAGAGTGCGGGACGAAGCGCGTTACATCGACATACCCTAAACTCTAAGTAGTTTTCTTATGATATTCTTAGGACTTCAACGAGTACATTACGTATATAACTCCTTAAGATAAAATTTACATAACATAATTAAATACATTAATAAAATATTACATGCAATATTCAATTTCTCACGAACTCCATACCCCAAATTTACAAACAAAATAAAAACTAATATATGGTGCCTCACATGAGCCGGTTAGGAGGAGCCGGTCGCATCCGTACCAACTTGTCCTTTTACCGTCAAGACATAAAAAAAATAACAACATGGTGAGCCGAAGCTCAGTAAGTAGGGTGATGCACGTGATATGCAATGTTGTTTTGACTTCCCATCATACTCATAAATTTTACTCTCGGGTACCACAGGTATTAGCCGATCTACTCTATTTATCATCCGGGTGGTCCGCGAGATCACCTTTTGCTACAACGGAATTATCCCTCGTTGTAACTACCGTTAACGGGAATCCATCATCTAACGGTGCGAAGCACACAACTTGATTTCATCCGGATGATCCTCGGATCATCTTCTCGCTACAACGGAATTATATCTCGTTGTAACTACTATCAGCGAAAATCCATCGTCTAATAGTGCGAGCACACGACCTAGAGTATTGGACTACTAATACCCACTTATTCCAATTAGGTTATCAAACCTAGATGTATAAACCGTTTCTCAATCAATTGACTTATCTTAAACTACCCACTATGCACATGATGCACGTGATGACATATTTAATCACATTCAACCAAATTCGGGTACCAACCCTTCATTCTCATGCCATACTCACGGTCCAACTCACACTCGGAATTTATCCATTGCTCACATACCAATCATGATACCCATAGCGGGAATACAATCTCCGCTCATTAATATTGTTCATTAGGTTCATTAATATTTAAAAGAAGGTCCAAGTCCATTTAATTTAATCCAAGCCCATTAACTTTATCCTAGGTCCATCGACTCTATTTAATTCCATTTTATTTAGTCCAAGCTCATTTAGTTTATTCCAAACCTATTAATTTTGTCAAAGTCTAATTTTTTTGGTTTTAGGGTTTATTACCGGGCAACTCCTAATTGAGTAAATAATTTTCTAATTTCAGAACATAATTAACTCTTACTCATTTTATTTTAGATACTAGACATATTTATTTATAACATATCCAAAAAGTAGTTCTAAATACCAAGTACACAATTAATTATAAAATTTTGAAACTTAGGGAGCAATCTGCCTAATAGTAGTTTATCTAGAGCTATCCATACTAAATTGGGTGTAACTCTTTGTACACTAATCCAATGACCAAGAAATTTTAAAGGAAGTTAGTTGAAACATAGATGAACAACTTTTATGCTTTAAGTTTCACCTAGAAATCCATCTAAAATCCTTGAATAGACACCCCAAAATTCGGACAGAGTTTACTCCTTATTAACACTAATTTATTAGTTCATTCCAAGCCAATTTTAAACATGTTTTAGTTCACTTAAATTTAGTCTAAGTTCAATCCAACCCATCACCACATACTTGGACATTTTATAAAAAATTATAACATCATAAATCATCACAAAAAGGCATCCATACATAGATTTATCCCAAGCATCAAGCATATAACCAATGAAGATTATTACAACCCATGAAATAAACACTAACAAAATAACTTTAAAAAAATAATTTAAGACATTAATCAGCCAAGAAAATGAAACCTACTTACCTCTTTTAGGTTTGAATATAGTTTTCCTAGCTCTTTTTCTTTCCTTTTTCCCTTCCTCTTTTTCTTTCCTTTCCTTTCTCTCCTCACGTTTTTCTTCCTCTCTTTTCTTTCTTGCCTTTTATCTCTCAATTTCTGGTACCTATGGTTTACTAAAGTGTTTCTCCTAATTTAACACTTGCTATACACATATATACTTACTTTCATTCAGCTACAAGTGTTAGAAATTAATGGGATAAGGTGTAAAGGTTATGGGTGAGTCATGAGGAAAGCTGGCTGCTTTGGAATCCATAATGGGTGAGTTGGCATTAAATTCATTTATTGCATTTGCTTAGGTGTCTATATAAAATTTGGACTAATTAAAATCATTAATTAACCTAATTCAAGTAACTAAAACTGCTTTCTTTCATAAAAATTTGGAAATTTCCATTTTTAAAAATTCGGAATTTCTTTTCCCCCAAAATTCCAGCGGTGTTTCCTTCTAACCCATCTATACTAAAATGTGCATAACTCTTTCTATATGTATCCAACAATTTATGAAATTTTATAGAGAGCTAGTACACACATAGAAAAACAACTTTTATTCTTTACGTTTTTCTCAAAAATCAATCTAAAAGCATCAAATAAATCTCACAAGATTCGGTCAGATTCTTCTCCCAAAATTCCAGCAGAATGCATTTCGAAACAACCCTCACTATAATTGGTATAACTCTTAATGTATAGGTCTAAATATTATAAAATGTTATACAGGCATATTAAACACATAGATGAACAACTTTCATTCTTTAAGGTTGACCCAAAAATTACTCTAAAGGCCTCAAATAAGTCACACAAAACTCGGGTAGAATATAGTCCTTAAAACACCGATTTTGCATATTTAATTTCTTTAATAATTAAACCATTAATCTTAAGCACAATAACGTTAATTTAACATAAATCACATATTTCAAGCATTAATTTCTCATGATGAAATGATAATTACACTTACTCTTAATAAACATATATATAAAATTATTCTAATACACGTCGCGTTATGGATAAGAGTTTTTACGGGGGTTACAATTCTTCCCTCCTTAAAGGAAATTTCGTCCTCGAAATTGATTCACTTGAATAATTCGGGGTATTTATCTTTCATTTCTTGCTCACGTTCCTAAGTCCTTTCTTCGAGGTTATGGTTTTCCCACGGAACCTTAACTAGCCCTATCTCCTTATTTTTCAAGCTGTTTGACCGTCGATCGAGAATCTGGACTGGTCTTTCTTCGTACGTTAAATTTGGAGTAAGATTCAGCGGCTCTATATTCAAAATTTGACTCGGCTCTCCAATGCGCTTCCTTAGCATAGACACATGAAATACATTGTGTATTCCTGCTAAGGATGGTGGTAGCAATATGCGATACGCTTTATCTCCTACTCGCTCCGATATCTCGAATGGTCCTATATACCGCGGGTTTAACTTTCCCCTTTTCCCAAATCGTAGTACGCCTTTCATTGGTGAGACTCTTAAAAATACATAATCACCGACCACGAACTTTAGATCCTTCCTCCGTTTGTCCGCGTAACTTTTCTGTCTACTTTGAGGTTGCTTTCATCCGTTGACGGATCCGGTCTACTACTTCGGTACGTCTGTCGTACCAATTCTAGTCCTAGCAATCTTCTTTCTCCTATTTCATCCCAATGCACCGGAGATCTACATCGTCGTCCATACAAAGCCTCATAGGGAGCCATCCTAATTGAAGCTTGGTAGCTATTGTTATACGCAAATTCAACTAAGTGAATGTATTTCTCCCACTTTCTAGACCAATCTAGGATGCACGCTCGTAGCATATCTTCGAGAATGCGGATTACACGTTCGGATTGTCCGTCGGTTTGGGGATGATAAGCTATGCTTGAAATTGAGCTTCGTGCCCATGGCTTTATGTAGACTCTTCCAAAATACGAAGGTGAATCTAAGATCTCGATCGACACAATTGAGATCGGAATCCCATTTCGTCCAGATACAATTGGGCATATTGGTTTAAATCATAGGTGATTTTAATAGGAAGAAAGTGTGCTTGATTTGATCAACTCTGTCTACGACTACCTAGATGGCATTTGACCCTCTATCCGATCTTGGCAATCCCATGACGAAGTCCATAGTTACATGCTCCCAATTCCATTCTAGAATTGCTAGTGGCTTTAACGTTCTCGAGGGTCTTTGGTGCTCCGCCTTCACTTGTTAGCAAGTTCGACACCTTGCCACAAAGTCGGCTACATCTTTCTTCATTCCATCCCACCAATAATATTATCGTAAATCCCGATACATTTTCCTACTCCTTAGATGTATTGAATATGGGGTTGTGTGTGCTTCCTTCGGTATCTCATCTTTTATTTCCTCCACTTGCGGGAACACATAGTCTTCCTTTGAATCTAATCATTCCTTTATCATCCATCACAAAATCGGACTACTGCTCCGGCCTCTATACCTTTCTTCAATTCCTTCGACTTTTCATCCTTTTGTAGCTCAATTTGAATTCTTTCTTGCAGCATCGAGCTGGATTAATAGTGCTGATAGCATGCTCCTATGGCCTATAGGAACTATTTCTAGTTTTAGTGTTTGTAGGTCCTTCATTATCGACGTCCGGGTCACCGTCTTCGCAGCGATCGATTTCCTACTTAAGGCATCGGCAACAACATTGGCTTTACCGGGTGGTACTTGATTATATAGTCATAGTCCTTTTACCAGC